ATTTGTTATTTTCCTACATGTATAGGATAAGTTTCAAAGCTTTTTAAAGTCTGCTGAATTCTTTTATCTGAACTCAGTCATTATTGGATCAGATTTATCATCATAAACTGATTCACAAAGGTATTTAACTGTAAAACTTAAAGGAAGTGACTCTTTTCCTACCTCAAAATTCAAGTGGTTGTTTTATTTACCATACCTTCTGCATTGTGTCTGATATCTGACTGTCTAATCAGGGACAATAAAGCGCAAAGTAAACCCATAATTTATTTTCCCTCTCCTTCTGACACTTTCTATGCCAATGAAAACAAAAATTAGCATCCTTATCTATTATACATTATTGATACAAGATTGAAATTTCACATGGATTTTTAAGTTTTCATAAGCAGGAGTCTTCATCTGTGTATAATAAATGCCTCTGTGTATTGCAGTGTTCCAGAATATTACTTACCCACCCTAATCAGCATTGTCATACACTCTAAAATTACCTGGACAGAAAGAGAGCATCTAAGAAATTTCCTAAGTCTTTTTGCAACAGTTTAATGTTTGCATTCAGTCAGCAAATGCATCTCACTAAGTCTGATTATATCACTTGTAGAAAAGAAGACAGACTATTGATTTTGACTAATGAGTTAAAACCAATTGTTATGTGTTTAGCATTAAGGCTGAATCTGGAGAAATGAAAAAAATCACAAAGGTAAAATAATGAAAACTTTCAATTATTCTACAAAAATAACATAATTATATGGTTAGAGGGAAGCATGCCAGGCAAGACTCAGAACCAGACTAACCAGTACTAAAAAATCAAAAAGCTTTTTAGCATTACCATGTTTTTAAATAGGAATATTGTCATTGTATCAGTTCCAATGAAAGAATAATTGCATGTACTCATCTTTAATCACTAAAATATTTCAGATAAACCATTTGATGAAAGATTCCAATTTTTCTTGTGGAGGTCTCTCTCTCCAGATTTTTTTCTCATTTTCAATTTCATTTTCTTTTTTCCATAGGTACTTTAGCCCTTTCTCTGGGGATGGTATTTAGTTCCAAATTATAGACATCTAAACTTATCTAGTAACTTGATTCAGTTGCCAAAGCATAGGAGTCCACTGCCACCAGTCACGCACCAGGACATCCAATCTTCTGTCCAGCTACCTCTCAGAACAGATTTTCTGTTTGTCAGCCCTCTATACCATTGTCTCAAAACACCTATTGCTACCCTTCTTTTCATATTACCACATATTGGTGAGAATTGTTTCGAGTCTGAGCAAGAGGTAGATCAAAGAAGTATCAAATCTCCTTGTCAAGTCTTTTGGCTCTTTGGCTTATTTTTTCCAACTGATTTGTCTGAACTAAACTTCAGGATCCAAGGGTTTCATGTTCAAATCACATTCAATAACTCTGTATTGTAATAAAAAGCCCTGTTTATCTGTCACTTAACATACTTGATTAAAGGAGCTACCCTCCAAGCATCCAGCACGCTGAGTAAAGAATGCCTGCTTTTTAACACCTACAAATTAAAGTTAACGTGTTTGTTTCTGCTGCTTTTTGGTATCATTACTATAGAAATTATTTAAAGAACTGTTTTGGCGTATGCAGCCCTAGGAATAGGCAACAGTAGTTCCCGAGAAAAAGGTAGAATAAAAAAATCTAGGGGGATCTTTCTGATACTTTAGCATCTCAATTTCCATCAGCCAGAAGTTTGTGAATATCCTGAGCATATGGCCCCCTGGATTTAACAACAATTCTTTGTTAAAACTTAATTGCATATTTACTTAAGCACATTCATATTTTTGGCGTTTCTTTGACCAGTCTGTTCATCTGTATCTTGATGTCACCAAAATGTGGGAGTGGAATTCAGTATTTAGTTATTATGTAACAGTAATGTCTCTGTACAATGCATTAGGTTTTAAAAATCTACAGGTTTTCTCAATTACAAGGACTATTGGAAACCCATGCACTCTTGGCAGAAACTAGACCATCCTTTGGCATGTTCTCTCTAGATACATAAATTAAAAAGAGGTGTTTGGGAACCCCTGGCTTAATTTAGTTGTAAATTTTACTGGTATTAGATGTATTTTCAACTGTAATCAACACTATGAAGAAAATAGTCAACAAGGAGTGGTTGTAATGTCTTTGTTTATACATCTAATAAAAAAAAATTACAAAATTTGTAACTTGTATTCATTTCTGTCCTGTATTTTCTCTTCCTCTGTTACCTTGTCACACATCTTCTCCCTCCTCTATGATTTATTGTTCCTATATATTAAAACTTGGTTGCTTTCTGCAGAAATAGATTTACAGCATATAGATGAATCTTATGGAATTTTTAGATTTCATAGTAACACAAACATGATTAATCTGTTTATGAATATAAGCAAGAACATGTTACCATCAGCTCTGTTTATCATCAACGAAGTTTCTGGGCTGCAGTTCATATGATACAAATTTATATGTATCAAATGGACTATGAGAGATGTGGATAGAATGAAATCTATGTCTGCATTCATTATCCACTTTCTGACAAGTGCTCTTATCTTTTTTCTTACAAAAGTAGAAAGAATAAAAAATTTCTTTCCTGACCTTGAGACAGTAGCTTGCCAAAGCCTTGTTAACCAATATATTCGTAGAGCATATAGAGGACTACTAAGAGGATATGCTCTAAAATCACTCCAGTAGCTGACAAGACCCAAATGAATGTGTCCTTACTATGTCCTTATGACAATGAAACAAAATTCCTTATTCAGTAATCAAGTCTGCTTTCCAGACAGGAGCAGTAGGTCAATATTCAGTCTATGTAAGAAGGAAATATATTGTGGAAGTAAAGAACCTCAAAGAAACAACAGATTTTATACCATGTCCCAAAAAGAAGCTTGCATTTGTTACTTCACCAGAAATTTCAGGAGATTTAGATTCACTTCTAATACCAGATAGTCAGATATAAAGTTGTAGCCAAAGATATTTTTAATTTTGAAATCAGTCTTTGAATGGGGTCTTTTTCACCTGTTGCTTTCCAAAATAAAGCTATGTTTGGTTACTGATGTCTCTCTCATTTCAAAATTAGATAGAAATACACAGTTTGTCTACCCTTTTGTTTGGTTACTGATACAGCTGCAGAGATCATCACTCTATACTGTAATTGTGCTGACATTTGCAAGAGTGACCCTAAAGACAGATATTGAATAACAAGGTATGGCATAAGAACAAACAGAGATGTTTGAATGACCAAGACCCTCTGGATTATTGATTTTTGCCTGTGCTAGGAAGATGGGGTTAAATGTGGCAAAGTGCTTTTCTGTATTTCCAATTAAGAAGTTCTTACAAGGTATGGATTAGTTTCCCATTTGAAGGAACCAAAGGTATATCAGAACAGAGTGCTGATATGAATTAGTATTCATGCAATGTGTACAGTCAGGGACTAAGAATTTGAAGCAAACTAGAAAGTGAGCTGAAGAGCTAGTCTAGGTAACAAGAAGAGACACATCTCAAATCTAATCAGAATTTGCGGCAAGCATTTGATTTGCTGCCTACTGCTATAAGTATTTTGTCACTATGAGAACATAGGACATCAGACCACATGTTACAAAATTGTCTATTACTTTTGTCTGGATAGCTCTTAAGATAATACTTTTTGAGGAATCATGAATAACCAGAATGTCTCTCTTTGAGAGCTCATCATTTTCTTGATACTCCAACTGTACTTAGAGATTAGAAGTTTTACGAAATGCTTTGAGCAGTCTGAGAAGTTAATCATTTTGGATGTACCTTTAGGCTTCTTGTGCTCTGTAGTTTGGTCTTGTTCCTACTTGTACACTTTGTGCATATAGTGGATCAATTACTTTTTCAAGGTTATACTGCCCTTTCTGTCTACAGATGGGTACAGATATACATTAGTTCTCTCTGTACTTCAGGTGGATTGCATTCAAGCTGACTTTGAAAGCTGCATAACTTAAAATTCTTCTACACTCAGGTATTAAAACTGTGGCTTCAGTACAAATAGAAGTTCACAGAAGCCCCACTTAAGAAAGCACTCAAAACTTTTGACTGAATATCTTTTCATCCTCTTTATTCCAGAAGAAAGGAATTTAATTAACATTACTACTGAATGCAGACTACTTCACACTTGCAACAACTTGACATCAGTTTACTGTGATGGTAAAATCTCTGGCTTCTGGTTTGCTTCAGAACACGAAGATTTAACAAGATTCATGTAAAAGTACTGTGTAGAAGATCCTAATGTGAGCCTGTGAACAGTAAGAGATATTTTCCTTTTTCATAGAATTATGTCATAGTCTCTTCATTTAGGTTAATGTTCTTTCTTACAATAGAATGAATGATGTAATTAGGCATCTATTGACAAAAAAGCACTTCCCAAAATGTGTAGTCCAAAAGCCACTTAACAATTTGGTTTCAAATGTCCTCTATTTAAATCTCTGCCCTAGGTCCCTTTGAGTCACTGAATTGTCCAATTTTACATATTCCTTCCTAGGGAGCCTTTTTTCATAGAGTGGAAAGTCTCCTTAATAAGTCTTGATTTGTTATAATTTGTGTTCAAGACTGTGTAAGGGGACAGTATCAGATAGTAAATCAAAAGCTTAATAAATTTATTTTCTCTCATTCTGTTGATGTTTCAGCTACAGTTATAATTCAGTACCTTGAAAGTAATAATTTGATTTAAAAATCCAGATATGAATAGGAAAGACTCTAAAGCCAATCAAGTATGAAAACTCAGTTCTCTTGAGGCTAATGGGTCATATACAGCAAGGGTCAATGTTGTTTTCTAAATTGGAAGTAATGCTTTTTTTTTCCCCCCTGTAATCTGCCCTTTGCCAATCTACCTCTACTGCATAAAAACACTGCTTTTCAGTGGTTTTATGTTTCTAGGAAACAGATCCTTGTAGCTAGGCTGTGTAAGAAATGCAGATACTGACCATATAAGAACTCATCTTTAAAATTTATGTCAAAGAAATCCTGGCTGCAGAGGAACTAAAGCTGCTGGAGACAGACAGATTTTCCCTCACTATATTCTTTAAGGAAGAGATCAAACTGGAGACTTATATTTTTCTTCTCTGTCTCTACCTTTTATTGGCAGAAAGGGGAGGTATGCTTGCAGCTAGAAGGTTATGGAATATTTTTAATGCTTCCTCTTTCGCTCATTGTAAAGCTGGTGAGAGACTAAATCTTTGCTGGATGATTTCACAACTCAGCATGACCATCATTTAGAGAGGCAGAGAAAATGCTTTTGCTTTTTTTTTTTTTTTTAATGTTATAGGCAAAGATCCAAGAAAGTGAAGGGATCTCAAGTGACTAAGTACAAGGGGCGACCACCAGCTCATAATTAAAATTTTGAATGACACCCTGAGGGAATGGTTTACGAGAACAGCAGCGTTTAATTCCTTACATTGGAAAGAAAACTAAGACCAAGTTTCCGACTCTTTGTTGAAGAAATGGTAAGCTACTATGTAAAACTAGTGACTTTAGTGTGGTGATTTAAACATAATTTAATTTTTCTAATCTAAACCCTGTGCAGATGTGACATGATGGACAGCATTTTCTTTTTTATTTTCTTGACGTTTCCTTAGGGATTTACATATTTGAAATATTAATTTATCTATATTTATACTTTAACTCAAAGTTCAACTCATAAAATCATAACTTTCAAGATAGGAGTCAGTGATTTTATTCAGCTGTCCTGAAATTAAGTCAGACACACCAATGTTGGAAGGTTTACAACCTGTAGATTTAACATAATCAGGATCAAATCTACTCAGTAAAGACAGTTGATCTTTTCTTGACCAGAAATCCTAATTTCCCAATGATCCTGCTGCACATGAATAGGTCATATGTATATGTATAGAAGGTCTCATTCAGGATATGTTGGACTAATTCTACAATGGTCAGACAGATGTTTGGAAAATCCCAGGCATTAGACTTACTACATGTGCAGATGGATTTCACACTGCATAAAGACTGAAATGTCTGGTATAGATCTAACTTGAAGTTGTTCTTCATGCAATGATGAAAATTTATTATGTAGGATTTATGTAGAAGTAATTTTTATAAGTATTTATCAGAATGTTAATTGAAAGAATTTTTTATTCATAATAATGCTGTTATAATTCAGCCATACCAATCTTTTAGTATTTACTGGTGTTCAAGAGACTTTTACATATGCTTTAAGATACAAAGATTTCACATTATTAGACATATATCTTCTGATTAGCATTTAATTCTCTTTCTCATTGTATTACAGATCATGACAGAATAGTGAAAGTAATATGAAAAGCAGTTCTGCATGTATTTTCCATGAAGAGATACTTATCTGAGATTCTGAATAATTCAAGCCTAATAGAAGGTTGTTTGAGTCTTGACAAGAACTAGTTACCTTTCTCCTTGAAAAGGGGGTAATACAAGAGTGGGGTAGAAGTAATGCAGAAAAATAGTCCTAGGCCCTCAGTGTATCCATAAACAGGATCATCTGTTACTGGATATCTAACTCTTGTGGTATTGCTTGCTGATACATCCAGGGTAGCATCAATTTTATCTTATGTTAGTTGACTGCCATACAGACATCTACAGTTGAGCTAGTCACCCTGGGTTCTTTTTATAGTCAATAGAGAAAAAGAGGCACTATTTAGGAAGAAATTCACCTGACCTGTTTCTGACATCTGCTTCAGGATAAAATGAATCATGCTCTAGATGTACTTATTTCTTTTCACTGAGCAAAGAAGGAGCATAGAGTGACTAGCTCACCTATAGAGAAGTATATGGAAGAGGTCTGAGAGGAGCCTTATCATTTCATTCTGGTCCTTACTTTAATCAGTAGAGGATTAGTTTTACAAATAAAGACCCTTCAAAATATGATTGAAAGCCTTGTACTTCCAAATATTTTGTTACCTGGTTCCATATTCAATGCTCAATAAGAACAATGGTTTACTTAGCTGGAATGGAAAATGAACTTGAAACCCAATGGTTTCCTACACCCCAGTGATTCACCCTGATCAAGAGGTTTTGAACTAAACAGAAGAGACATCAAACACTTCCACATTCTTCCTTAGCCCTTACTTTCTTAGATTGTATCACAACCCTTGTTTTGCTCTTATGAAATATCTGTTGAAAATGTTTTGAAAATATTTTTAAGGATATAATATAAAAGCATGAAGTACATTCTAATAACTTTTTTACTTGCATTTTTTTCTGAAGTAATTTGACAGATTCAACTTAAATATTTAAATTGTTTTGAATGTTTCATACCATATATTTAAAAAGAAGAGAAATTTTATCATTTATTACCTAGCACTAATTTTATACTCTCTTTACTGAAAAAATTTTCCTGTCTCTTCTTTTGAAAAAAACCCCACAAAACTAAACCCAAATTTCCTACAAATGTCATAAGGCTTGATAGCAAAAGTTCTACATTTTATATTCTTTTCCCTATAGAAGAAAATGCAATCTTCAGATAAATATTTCTTTAATTGGCATTACTTATTTTTTCATATACCTTCAGAATACTTATTTTATAATGGGGAAATGGAAAAAATATGTTGCTTTTTATAAACTTCTTGAACTTCCTTTTTCTTTTTTTTTACTATCTTTTAATATTTATCTCTTGATGACTCATTGCTTGACCTATTCTAATATTCAAAAGCCAATCCCTCAATCCTTTAGGTATTGTACTGTAGCTGTTACACTGAAAAGCAAATTTCAAGCTATATCATAGAAATCTGTGGGGATTCCATGTGCAAAATAACAGCTAAATGATCATTGATATTTTTTTAATTAATCCTCCGAATAATAGATAGTCATTATACCCTTTGTAAATTTTTCATGCTCTGTACGTACACTTTAGCAACTGCACTAGAAATGACACAAAATGACACAAAAAAATGACTTTGTCACAATTAAATGATTGTACCACTCAGAGATTTTAGACACATATAATTTTCCCATACAAATTTAAAGAAAATGCATAAAGTCAGTCAGTTTCAATTTGAACATACTTACTTCTTTTAGTATTTGTTTTTCCACATGCATATTCATTCCAAGCAATTAGTGTTCAGTCAAATGTTTGTAGCAGGATGTGGAGCTGGTAATTTTTGAATATGCTTGTTTGTCAGACAACATGCATATTCATAACCAGAGTTACTAGTAGAGTAGAGTTATGCTTAATATAAGAGGACGAAAAGATAGGGAAAACAAAATGCAAAAGAAGTAAATTATTTTTAATATATGACGAATGTGCTATAAAGCTTTCAGCTTTGATAGAACTATGCTAACAGTGTAAATAGTATATTTGTACTGATTTTAGAGATAGAAAATAGCAGTTACTTAGCCAAAAAGCCCTTTAATTCTTTGTGAATAACTATCAAGTATAGAATAATTTGTTTCTATGTTGTGTCAGACTTAGTTTCAAAATTTAGATCCCTAAACTTACTTGTGTAGATATTGGGAAGATATAGGTACAGATATTACTTGAGTGTCCATTGACTGACTATGTTGGCTACATCACCACTGACTGTAATGGAAGCTTAGATACCCAATTCATATATAAAACGTTATGGTCAGTCATCAACATTTAATGATCTACACTGTGGAGCTGAATGTCATTCCTTAATTTACGGGTATTCAGGTTATCTCGAACTGTATCCCACCTTTCTTTCCTTCCAAAGGTTAGATCATGATAATAAGCTTCTGGAAGGTGATAACCCACCTGTAGTGTCCTCCTTCTTGTTCCTCTGGAGGATAGGAGAGCCATTTGCTTTTTGTATAGTCTTCTGAAACCAGGTCATTAAGTCACCCTGTTGCCACTACTTTTCATGGATAATCAACTTCTTCAGTGCTTGTGGGTACATCATAGCAAGTCCCATAGATTTGTGTGTGTCCAGTTTGTTGAAATGGTAAATCTCCCCAACTTCAGACTTTTTGCAGGTCTCAAGAACCAGGAGTCATTGAAAGCCAGTCTTGACAACAAAGACCACGGTGAAGAAGGTATTGAATACCTCAACCTTTTCATGTCCTTTGTTGTCATGCACTCTGCACCACTGAGTAACAGACTCACATTTTCTAAGTCTTCTTTTTGCTGCTGTTGTACTTGTAGAAGCCATTTTTTGATCTTCGTGATCCTTGCCAGATTTGGTTACAAGTGAGCTTTGCTGCATCAGGTATATCAGCAGCAAAAGAAAGACTTATCCTGGACTGCACAATCCACAAAGAGATAAGGAAGTTTTGTTAGGAATCATTACACCAAAGCTTCTTTCTTGGACTGTGCCATCTTTGCCAAAGAACAGACATGGATTTGATGGGTGGACCATTCAATTGATTAGAAATTACTTGGATGGTCACATCTAGAGAGTAGTGGTCAACAGCTCGATGTCCAGATGGACACCAGTGACAAGTGGTGTCCCTCAGAAGTCCATATTTGTACCAGTACAGTTTAATGCCTTCATCAATGACATAGACAGTGGGATAGAGTGCATTCTCAGCAAGTCTGGAGACAACACCAAGCTTACTGGTGTAACTAACATGCCTGAGGGGTGGGATTCCATCCAGATGGACCTGGACAAACTCGAGAAATGGGTCCAAGGGAATTTCATGAGATTCAACAAAGCCAAGTTCAAGGTCCTACACATGGGTTGTGGCAATCCCTTGTATCAATACTGATGAATGGATTAAAGAGCAGCCTTTTAGAAAAGGACTTGGGGGTGCTGGTGGAAGGAAAAATGGACTTGAGTTGGCAATCATAGTGTCATAGAATCATTAAAGTTAGAAAAGACCTCCAAGATCATCAAGTCCAAGTTTTGACCGAAAATCATTGTATCAACTGAACAAAATAAAGGAACAAAAAATTGATGCTTCTGACAACTTATTTAAAGCTGCTGAGCTGACACAAATGGTCTGGACACATATGACTGTCAGTCACTTTATATTATAAAAGCCCAGTCCCAAATTTTAATGGCAGGATCTTCTAACATATCCCTTCTTGGAATGTATGCATCAAGATTCCAGCCTTGAGTGGGGATGTCCCTCAGGTTATTCTTCAAGGCTGAGTGAAAGAGATTTGCCCACAGTCATTGGTATGGGTGAGTAACATCAATTTTTACTTAATAATTGTTTTTGCTAACTTTAATATAATTACTTTAATATAAAATTGCTTTAATGTAATTGCTTCACTATTGCTTTATAGTATTATAATAGTTGTTATAGTTCCCATACTGTGGAAAAAATAATTCTGATTTAAAAACCTTTTGTCTAATAATTATCATAATAAATCTATTAATTCTAAAATGAACTCTAATATTTATATAAATATATCTGATTTACTACCCTTAATCCTGTGGGATAAAGTTGTATAAAGGTTCCATTACACCTATAGAATCCTTTAGGCATAAACCATTGACAAAGTCTGGGGTTGGGATTGGATCCAGCCATACCTTGACTCCTCTCTGTAAAG